AATCGTGTTTCTTCTTGCGGCCAACACAGTCACATTCAAACAGCTTGTCTAAAGATAATTGCAGAATTATAAAGTACAAGTCTGTGTTTTCCTCGTGACTTGATTTCATTTAGAGATATTATCCCGTTTTTATGTACGAGCGCGAAGAAAATGCTCCATTTTCGCTAATTTCATACTCGAAAGAGCGCCGATTTGGCGTTTTTCAAACTTTGCCCGATTCAGGAAAAAATAAAAAGCCGTTACAAGTTTTAATGTGATTTTTGAAATAAGTGTACTATAGAGATTATGTGGGCAAAATATGAAGAAATTCAAAAATTCATGACTGTCAACCGATTCTCGAAAATTACAGACATTGGCTCTTAAGTTTCGGAAATGAGATAACTCACAATGTTTACGATATGATTTATCCCGTTTAATATGCCTCACTTGTAACGAAATTGCTCACAATTCAGTCTCACTGTCGTATTACACAACCACACTACTGGAGATCCCAGTAGAAAATCTCTATTGCAAAGCAACGAGCACAATTATCTAAGTTTGACAGCTATTGTCATAATCCCTTTCTTATGTCAACAGTATAATTGAATGTAGTATTGAAATAAGCTTGAAATCACGCGCACAAGTTATATAATAGGAACAAACAGCACAATTTTCAACACCCTCCACCTGTTTAGCTCCAAAGGAGATAAATATAAACAAACAAAAACTCGCAAAGTTCAGAGTTCGTTCTTATACTACTAGAACTGATATGTAATAACTGCTATATGTCACTTGTAAGTCGGGTAAAAACTGTCCTCTTAGTCTCAGCGTTCTCTTAAACTTAAGGATCACAGTTCTCCTCTGCTAGGTTTCTGATCCGCAGGTTTGCTGCGACGAGAGTATCTCGTGACGGCCTGAACTCGGGTGCTACTACACGCAAAGGAGTTGGTTTGTCTGCTTTAACTCTTACTCGGTCACAACAGAGCTCCAGAGGGAATAACCGCTGTACTGCCCGCTCTATACACGAAGTTCCAACACGTAACTTCGCTGCTCGAACGACACCATCCCGTCCCTTGATAAGATCTGTGACAACGCCAATCCTCCACTTGCCACGGTTCTTGTCTTCTGACCTGATAAGCAAGACCTCACCAATTTTAGGATGGCGTTCTTCTGAATGCTTCAGTGCGTGTCTCTCTCTGAGTGATTTTACGTATTCCCCTAGCCTGCGTGGTAGGCGTTTGAGAGGGAAGGGAAAGGGAAGTTTTAGGCGCGAGAGAAATGCGAGGGGCGCGCGAGGAGGGAGGGAAGGAAACTGGCGTTTCCTTCCTTCCCTCTCTCCTCGCGCGCCCCGGTCCTCGCGTTTCTCTCGCGCAAAAAACTCCCTTTCCCTTCCCTTTCAAACGCCTGCCACGCAGGCTAGTACTCCCCCGTCCAAAGTTTCCAAACAGCCTCCTTGCATCGCTTAAGGTACCCATCTGGCTTGCGTAAGCTTCTGTCCTCAACATGATGGGGTTCAAGCTCAGGTAACAGATTAGGTTGGCCAAATAACAGCGCGTTTGGAGTTAAGACCGGCAACTACACGTCGTCTTGAATGTAACCCAAGGGCCGGTTGTTCACTGCAACTTCCACATCGAGAACCACCTCTTCTAGCTCAGTCCAAGTCAAGAAACCGTTTCCGATGGTCTTTTATAGACTTCCCTTAACAATTCCCACCATTCGCTCAAATTGTCCGCCCCACAAGGGTGCTCTACTGAGATTGAACCCCGGGGGGGGGGGGGCACTTGGGTATTGTTTGGGTGGGTATGTGCCGCCCGGGACTCCAAATTGTCACCCCGTTCTAAAAAAATTCCCCTAAAATTGATACCCCGTTCTAGAAATGGGCCAACAATTTATACCGGCCCCGTTCTAGAATTCGCCCTAAAACTGAAACCCCGTTCTAGAAATGGGACAATTTTTTATATTCCGTTCTAGAAAGTTTGTGAATTGAAATAGCCCTGTTTTTTTAAAAAGATATTTCTTTATTTGTTCGACTTATACATCAATCATAAGCTTCTTCATAATCAGCAACAATTTTAAGCAGAAGATAAAGCCGTGATCCACAATTTTTTATACCCCGTTCTGGAAAACGCCTCTGAAATGGATACCCCGTTCTAAATCAGGAGCTTCAAAATCACGACCCCGTTGGGCGGCACATACCCGTATAGGTAATGTATGGGAGTACCCCTCCCCCCCCCCCCCGGGGATTGAACTGACATTTGATTCCCTGGTGCGACAGGTAGTCGTTCAGTTTCCCATCAGTCATTGCTGTCTTAAGTCACTTTGCCGCTGCCACGAACGTACGGCCATTGTCGGAATGTATTTTCTCGGGCCTGCCTCCACGTGCAATAAACCTCTTCAGGCTTCTTTAGAGAAATTCAGACGTTTCCAGGCTGGACAGCAGCTCTAGGTAAATCCCCCTCGTCAGGCTGCAGGCGGATAGCACCAGGTACGTCATTCCTTCTTGTCCTTTCTTCTTACGATACTTCATAGGACCAGCAAAGTAAAGTAAGAACTTTATTATAGTGTCAAAGTACACTAATTGGGGACACCTAACTACAATTACTTATCTGATTGTCAATAAAAATAATATAATAATCAACAAAATATGAAATGTATATCCACACGTAAAATCAGTCATTAGTTGTTACATAAAAAACAGTCTTTACAAGCGTTGTCAAGCAGGCTTGTGAAATTAACCAGTTTAAAACGCTTTTTGAAAATGTCCAAAGATTCAGACGATCGAATAGATATACCGAGTTTGGACCAAATGACAGGGCCTAGGTAGGTCAGGCTGTGTTTACCATAAGCAACAGTCCGAAATCTAGGAATGACAAAATTATGATTTCGAAGATGATACTGAGAATTCGTAACGACAAATAAGTCAGTGGCTTGTAGTCGCCGCGTATGAAGTGTTGGTGCATTCGCTCTATGCATGAGTTCCTCGTACGTCGATTTGTTGTCACAGTACACAGCCCGTAGTGCTCGTTCTTGAATTAGTTCTAGTTTTCTGGCATCAGAAGAACGACAAAAATGCCAGACAGTCTGACAGTACGTAAGATGGGGTAACACAGCGAATTTAACAATATGCAATTTAGCAGATGTAGGGATGAGGCTACGTAATCTTAAAAGAACGCCAGTTTGAGAGGAGGCTTTTCTACAAACATTGCTTACATGACTCGAAAATGATAGTTGATCGTCTAGGGTACCCCTAAGAACGTTATCTCTGGTTTCTGATCAATTACAGTGTCGTTAATCACGATGTGTAAATCCTTGTGCCAATTCCTCGGGCCCAGACGCATCACTTAATACTTAGAAAAATTTCCTTGTAAAAGATTGTTATTATACCACTCAGAGACGTTGTTTCCTTCATCAGTTAAAATGTTTTCCGCCTCGTTGGCTGTCTTCGCCACTGAAAACAGTTGGTGGTCATCCGCGTACACGAATAACCTATTTTCATCAGTGGAGAGGTGTAGGTCGTTTTAAAAGACGTTCCAGAGAAGAGGCCCGAAGGCCGATCGCTGGGGACAACCTCTCGTGGTAGCGTACCAATCGCTAGTTGTTTCTCGACTGATCTACTTCTATCACTTGGAATGCGTTTTGGCCTTCTGTACGGTCCCTTGGAAGCTGTCCAGGTGCTGGACTGGTAAATGCGGTGAAATGAAACCGCTTACGACCGTTGCAGGACTTGATAACTTTTCTTGCAAGGCGTCGCAGCCTTGGGATCCAATACTGCTCACGAATCTTCGCCATAGTCAGGCCTACTCCCCCATGCAATGTGGTTTTGTGCTCTTCTTCAACAAGCTTGAGCGCAAATTGGTGCGAGTCTGGTACGTAAATGGGGTACACACCTTGAATCCTCCCTGTACACTCCAACCCACTTTCGTTTTCTTGAAGGTTAAGCTGCAACCGATGTTCTTCGAACCGTTCGTCTCCCTTGAAGTTTTCCTGGACCTTCTTTAGCCAAAGGAGTCTGCCTGTTAATTTCTTCTGTGGTAAGCAGGCCTTTGTTTCTGTCCGACTTGGCACTTCGTGCATTGTGTATAAACCGTCCCATCCAAGCGAAAACCCTGAGTGTTCGCCAGAGGGTAGACTTGGCTGGCAAGGTGTCAAGCATGTCTGTTTGACCTTGGGCCACTCAAGGACTTCCCGGATAACTTTTGCTTCTTCTTGGCTCTCTGGGGTGGTCTTCGTCTCAATGTCTGGTGGCCACTGCTGTCGCTTGGGTAACCACTCAGGTCCATACCAATGTACCTCCTGAAAATCAACATTGAAAGGGAAGGAGGCCAAACATCAGCAAGCGTTTCAAATATCATGACCGGGATTGTAGATGGTGAGCAGTTACGGCTATTGATCCGAAAAAAGCTCTGTTGAAAACAAATTTGCAGGTTTAGCTTTTCAGGGCGCGTTCGATTGACTGCATTCCGGTATAAAAATAAATGGGATAAAATCTTGGAATCACTTAATTTTTGGCACTCATTGCACTGCAGTATCTATAAACCTACTTGAAATAAAAATATTAAGAAGCATGTCGCGTTAAAATCACATAGAAGAGACTTTTTTCTTTTCTTTTTTTTTTAAGTATTCGTTTTCCAGAATAATGTCAATCGACGGCACCCTCAGCAGTAAAAGTGCAAGGATCACAATAAATTGAGGAATCAAGAGATGCTTATCTGTAGCACCCCGCAGACGTCCTTTGGGGAGGCTAGCTTATCTGACTTACCAAAAATTCTCAGTTGTACAGAACGAGGTCAAGGATGGAATAGAGATGGTGAAGAAATCGCTGGCTCAAAACGTATACATACAATGTAATCCTTGACTGGAACTCTGACCTTCTGTCCAGAATTGTAGGGATGTTTCATTCAAAAGTAAGAACCACAGGCTAATATTTTTATGCGTTAAAGTAGTTTGAATATGGATCACTTGAGTATTTGAGTTAATACATACAATAATATAATTTATTTTTGTTTTAAAAAAAGACTTACTTTTGTTTCTCCTTTTTCAGTTTGAATTCTTCCTCCTTCTTTTAAAAGTAGTCAGACCTGTGATAAGGTCATATTAATGCCTTTAAAATTCACCAATAATCGAAATCATTTTCAAACGCGAACTTAAATTGTACGATGCAAAAGAATTGTCAAAGGCCTTGCTCTGTCAGTAGGAAGGTGAGGCAAAAGCGTTTTCGAGCTACACACACCTAAAACGGAAGTGAGCTGTTGGCCCTTTAATAATAGAGACCTTTAGACTCAAGGACGAGGACAACTACGAGCACGAGATTTGAATTAAAGTTGATTCGCGCATTCTCAAAATTATAGACTTCCCGGAAAGCTTCATTTCACCATTTTTCACCAGAAAAGTTAGCACTGTTACCTTTAGTGAAGGGGGTTATACCCTCTCCCGATCGCAAAATGATAAAACTTCTAACATTTGATAACTTGTTTTCCCCACTTCGACATTCTCGCTAAAACTCGTAGCAGAGTAAAGACGGTTACCACGTTTTCCCGGCAAAATGACGCTCCTTCACGCGCAAGCCCTACTAATACTGAGAAAATCTCATACTCGAAGTCGTACTCGTCTTAGAATCTAAACGTCTCTAATATGTCTTGATGCTACCAGATTTGTATTGCTAAGTGTATTTACTCTTATAGAGACAATTTGCCCGAAAATTTGGGCAAACACATTGCCTTAGAATGCAAGAAGTCCACTTCCGGTTGACGTGCGTCGTTGAAAAACGTCCTTGTAACTGAACAGTGGGGGAAGACAGGGGCATAGGAGCTCGGGATAATGGGGGGTGGGAGGGGTGGGAGAGGAAAGAGTGAGAGGTGGGAGTTCTATTAAGAGGGCGGGAAATGAATAAAGGAAATTACCCAATAATGCTTAATATTTTGCGATCGAAAGATAGCTCAATGGAGGAATCCAGTAAAAAGACGGAAGCAGGGAATGCAGGGCACAAGAGGCAGGAGGTTTGAACCTCCTGTGCAGTAACAGACTGCTGTGACAGTTAATGACATTATTACATGTATTACAGGAGGATAACTTGTGCACACTGTCAAAAGTCATACAAGTTTTCAAACGTTACATGTATTTTTTTTACACAGACCCTTGTTTTCATGATAAACACTCAAAAAAGTTGTAGCTTTTCTATGTTGTGTGATAAAATGAATGAACCCCAGGTTCTATCAGTTTCGACAAGAACCGCAGTTGAAAGGCAATGCAGCTTGCAAGCAATCTCTCCATTTAGGGGAGTCGCGAGAATTCATGTGAGAACCACATGCGAAAGGAGATGCAAGTGTATTCTCTCGCAAAAATTAGAGAGCTTGTTTGCAGGTTAAAGGCAATGAGGAACCATCGCAAGTTTTGTTACTAAGCTGCAAGGTGAAAACTGAAGGCAACTCTCAGGTAGTATTTTCTCTTGTCAGTTTCAAAGTCAAGTAAAGTGTACTTCAGTTAATACTCCAGTGTGATGGATTTACATGTATTAATAGCATAGGGGTTTCCCAGCCCCTCAAACACCCCACTCTCCCAATCAATAGTATCTGCCAACGATTGAAACTTTACACAAACATACAGTGTACTGTCGGGAGAGAAGCCATTTTAGGGACAACTCTTCCTGATTAATGAAGAATACTTACTTCATCATTTTAATGAGCTCCTGTTCATTGTATTTAAGAGCTTCTGTTGCCACAAATGCCTTTGCCTCATCGACAGTGGAGAATTCAACAAACACAGATCCTTTAAATAAATGGTTTTCGCCTCTCCTCATTTTGATCAGCACGGCCTTTGAACAGTTAAAAAAAAAAGAAACACAGGTAAATCATGGCAAAACGTAGTGTTTAAGGGGCTTCAACATAGGATCCACTGGCTGGTTATAAGCATACTAACAACAATGTAAAATTTCATGTACCAAAATAGACGCTAGGACTAAACTGACGGAGGACAAGTCAGGCTAAAGGTTGATTTCCACTGGCGAGTTTTTGGCTTTGCAAGTTATCGAATGTAAATTTTAATCACGTTAATAAAATAGAGGCAAGATAAAAAGTGCTGACCTTAAAAGAGAAGTTGAGCGAGTTTCAACTGTTACGCTTACAAGTGACCTTTTATATATTGCCTCTATTTTAATTCCGAACATAATGCGACACTTGAAATCAACCCTTATTTAAGAATAAAACATGGGGGGGTTGTACTTTACCTTTCCTTTATCTGAAAAGAATTCTTCCAGTTGATCAATAGTTGTTTCTGCAGGGAAACCTTTCTGCAAGGAAATTACACCAAACTAACAATGAAGATTAAAGAAGAATCAAATGGCTATTCATTAACTACTTTAAATCCTGCTAAGCGAAGGTTACATGTACATGTTGTGTAAACTATGCATTGATGATGGTTTGTACAGCATTTAAAATTTAGACAACCCTCTCTAGATGCCAAAATAAAGGGATTGGGAAAATTACCCCTACTCTTTGATACGTGTAATATATATGCAGTTCAAGAGCCATCATTGGGACAACATTAATTAGATCTCTAGATGCCAACATGAAGGGATTGGGAAAATTACCCCTACTCTTTGATATGTGTAATATATATGCAGTTCAAGAGCCATCATTGGGACAACATTAATTAGATCTCTAGATGCCAAAATGAAGGGATTGGGAAAATTACCCCTACTTTTGATATGTGTAATATATATGCAGTTCAAGAGCCATCATTGGGACAACATTAATTTTAGTGTTGCATTGTATATAAATGTAGGAAGCAGTGGAGCCCGCTGTATAGAAGTATATGAAGGGGTGCATAGATGATCTTCTAATAAAAGATAAAACACCCCCCTTGGCATATTTGGCTAGCGTTTTGAAACTGAGAAACAATTTTGCTGTTATTATGGTTTTAATGTTACCCCAATTACACTGTATAATTGAACAGCATGCTTTACACAACTTACACAGTAAACTGTTTTGGTTTTGGCATCATGTCTTGCTTCTGCAGTTTCCTCGGGAAGAGGTTTTGTTGTAGCTCTTCTTACTTTCTTATTATCTTCACTGACCTAAAAAAACAAAAATAGCATTTTACAGTGCTGCTACATTCTGTACTGTTAATAAATTGACAGAATTGAGGTCTAGTAGTACCTGGTCAGTTTATTTCTCGCAGCTAATACTTCTGCTAAACCTTACTTTTTGAAAAAAAACTACTTCTTCGACCTCAACTCTCTCACAGCAACCACTTCTCATAAGTGACCAACTCCAATAAGCGACCATGTTGTAAATAACTGCTTTTTTTTTCTCAGTTAAATACTGTCACTCAAAAACTCTATCTTATATCATTTTAGTTTGAGCTTTAAAAAAAACTGTACATTTTGTTGATTTTTCCTTTGGACAACCACCTCCCATAAGCAACCACTTTGTCATACACCAGGGGTGGTCAGAGATTAACATTATTACTATGTACTAAGTGTTCTAGGTTCAAAAATTTTTTGCTTCTTACAATCTAATATTTCTGGAAGCAAACACAGCCTTTATAAATATACAACAAGCCTTAATTCACATGTACAAATAACACTGATACAGGTACATCTTACTGAAACTAAATTCAAGAGCAACAATGTACCGGTATTTAAACATACATTTGTAACGTACCTCAAGCAGGCCAGCTTCTGATTTTCTGAGAGCTTTGGCTATAGCATCTGTATCTGTTGATAGAGCCTAAAAATAATGGTTCTGTCAGTCTCTGGGCCAAACGTGGGCAAGCACCATCCACTGGATTGATCGCTATCCAGCATAAAAGCTGGATAGTGAAAAACCATTGCCCCATCCACTAGATATAGAGGATATTACATGGCCGTGCGAAGATACGAAATTTCTCTTCGAGTGTTGAAAAATATTTCTCGAGTGAGGGCAGCGAACGAGTGAAATATTTTTTTCAACACGGGAAGAGAAATTTCGTATCTCCAAGCGACCATGTAATATTCTATTTATTATATAAACACCAATGAAATACCAAAACATTTTACTTAAGTAGTTTTTTGGTGTGAAAGGTGCTATTTATTATGTAGCCATAGCAACGGTGATAATTTCACGTGTGAAGATAACATGTTATTTTCACATGTGAAGATATCAAGTTTTCGTGCAAAAGCCCACTTGGTATTTCATTGGTGTTTATATAATAAATAACAATTATTCACCGAAGTGGAGGTGGCTAGTATTGGATACTTACTGAGGCGGAGAAGCAGCGAGGTAAATATCCACTACTAGCCACTGACACTGAGGTGAATAATTGTTTTAGTATATACTAAAACAGTGAGATAATTGAGCACAAAATGATGATTTTTAACTCATTTACTATTGCAAACGATTACAATTTTGGCGCGCAATGACCGAACGGCCGTGGTCGTTGCTTTTTCTCGGTGACAAATAAAACTTTTAAAGGCGTTTGTTTAGCTCTTGCGGGGAAGTTTCTTCAAAAGGAGTTCTGAATTCTGTTTGTATTTAAAATAATTCTGTAAAAAAGATTATTAACTTTAGTTTTAAGCTTATTTATGAACAAGTCAACTAAATAAAGAAATGCAAGACTTAAGCTTAATTTGCATTTGTAAACAAAAAACTTTTTCACCGGTTTTATCGATAACTATTCAAGTCAAAAAGACAAAGCTTTACCTGTTAAAACTTCCAAACCGAACTTCGACACCTTCATGTATTTCGGAAATAGCTTGCTTGATTAGTTGTGAAATTTCTTAGTTTGTTACGGCAGCAAACCGGGAAAGCATTTTGCTCACAACCTACGCGAGTTTGGCGTCGCTCCCTTGGAGGAACTGGAGGTGAATCAGTGAATAGTGCAGGATATTCACTGATTGAGTAGCCAATCAGAGTGCCCAAAAAATACTTTCCACTGTTTTAGTATATACTAAAGAGATTTATCCACCTTTTTAACAAGTGGGCTAGCTAGTTGTTTATATCTGCTTTCACTCTGAAGAAGTCCTCTCCTATCACCATTATCAGTACCAATGCATGTACTTAACTGTCCAACTCCACTCAAAATACCCCTTACATACACCAACATTTCCCGCATACACTGTAAATGCCTTCTGGTATTTTCTTGTTAGAGAAAGAATGGGGCAAGATAAAGCAAATATGAGCCTCTTACCTTAAGTCTGTTGAAAGTTGTTAGGCACTCCAGTGTTACCCCTGTGATTTATAGCAAGTCTTGTCAAGAAAACTAAAGATTACAGTGAGAATAAATAATACTGTAATTGTATTTTGTATACTATTCTTCTTGAGATATTTGACAGAGAGTGAGTACATTTTATGTCATTTTTTATTTTGCTAACTCACTAAGATACCTGCATAGACTGTGTTCTCCCTAAAGTTTAGATCAGCAGGAAAGGGACCATTCATGGCCGGTAAGGCAAAAATATACACCAAAGGTGCACTTTCCTGGTTGGGGGGGAGGTGGGACATGGCCCGCCCTCGCTTGGAAATTCAGGAGCTAAGTTCTCTTAAATGTCATTCCCTCATTTTAACACCTATTTTTCACAAATCAGCCGCTGTTATCTTTAGACAACAATTAAAAACCTTTGATTCCAATAATTTTACTCTGTCTTCAATGTTCTCTTTCCAAAATGTGTGGCCCATAAAAACAAAAGCCGTGTATACTTCGGTACTTTTCCATATATTCTTTCATTTCCTTGTGAAAATAGGATCAGATCACAATTTAATTTTAGTAAACCTTCAAGCAGTTGCAGGCGGTAAGAAGTGTTGCTTTAGGGGGTAAATTTTACCGGTTACCACCTGATAAAGAGAACACTGCCTGTACAAGCAAAACGGCGTGAAAGGAGATGGGACATAAAAAAGGACATATGGAAAAACTGACAGTTCATTGAGTGATAAATTCTCCTTGTGTCATAAGCAATCATGAGAAAAATGAAAGTAGAATGTTAATTAAGTCTATCAGTTGAGTGAGTGTTGTGCTGCAGAGCTTAAAACCTGTATATTCTCTTGTTAGTTGAAAAGTGATTTTAAGGACATGGGTACATGAAAGGATACATCCTTCATCTTCATCAACCTTCTGTCGGAGAAATTTGTCCCTGGGTAGATTCTTATCACCAAAATAAAACTGCAACAATAATTTCACATACATGATAACACAAGATTACATATAAAACTCATCTATCAAGGATGTGATAAATTTGAACAAATTAAGCTCGAGTCTCTACACCAATATAGAGCAAAGATGAAGATTTCAGGTACAGCCCTACCCTGAACAGGGATGGTGGTGGTTTCCAGTTATCACTTATTGGAGGAAATTTAAGCATCTGATAACATGTTAGGCTGGGGTCCAACACTCCAAACCAAAGCTATAGTTTGGTATTACTTTCAAACAGTTGTCAACGTTACACAGTGATCATGCAGGGTTCTAGCAGTGGCAGGAAGCTTTGGCTTAGCTCTACACTGGGCTGAAGATTCAAGTTTATTCAAGTATCTTCAGATTTGTTAAAGGAGCTGTGTCACCAAATTCAAACAAATTAGGTAATTACAAAATGCCCGTTAGATTAAGAGAAACATAAAAATAACCGCTTCAAACATTAAAGGAAGGTTAAATAACATAACAGATGCCACGGATGGGCAAAACTGAAGAAGATTGAAATGGACCGAAATTAGGGTTTTTGAAAACTGTTCAGCCTAACAGTTTTTCAAAGTTGATCTCTGCTGTTTGCAACTTCAAATATAATGAGACATATCTGTTTGTCTCGAATCTCTGATTTTGTCATTTACATGAAATTTCTTTACTTACATTAAGTTCCATAGCGATTCCATGTGCAGGGGAGCAATTGGCAAAATTAAACAAAATGAACTGGACTGCCGTGACACAGTCCCTTTAAAGACAGGTAGGTATTTTTAGACTATTAATAATGGCACAGTGTTAAATCACCAGGTCAATGGGACATTCAATTTTTTATCTGCCTCCCCCTAAGGATGATGGTTTTTTTGAACAGGGGGGTTCGGATTTTTCCTTCAAAGAAGCCCACAAAATTTCAACCCTTTAGACAAATTTTTCAAAGGTGCTGACAAAAAAAGAACCCGGGTTCAGATTCCCGTCATCTTTAGGGGGGTGCAGATAAAAAATGGAACCTCCCAACCCATGACCAGACAGTGGCGAACAACATGGCAGAATGTTCAAAGAAAACAACCTCTTAATTGATTTACTAGCTAGGGTGACTGAAGAGTTCTACTGTGGTTCTAACCGAGAATCATGAGCTAACTCGCTTAATGAATAGAACCTTAAACTGGCTACACTGCACTCATTGTTATAATTTAAGATGGATGTAAGGCAGACTTGCACAAGTGTCCTATTCGGTCGTGAGTCAGTTTGACCATGGGTGACTGTAAGTCCTTGATTTTAACAAAGTTCTTAAAATTTATATGCGATACATGTACATGTACAGTAGGCCCCACAAATAGTCAAAACGTAGCAACTCTACAGAGTTATTCTAATTCTTATTCTATTTTCTGCATAAGCGGTTAACACATAAAGGCAAAATGCTGACATTCAAAGCTGAAACTAAGGCTCTTGGCAAGGAATGGGTAGTTGTGCTTACGAGTACAAAAATAGCGTCCTTTTCACTTATGGTATGATTCCTTTTAGCCTTAAAATGCTTCTCAGGTGAATAACCATTCGCTGGGATTCTTGGCAGAAAAACAAATTGATAAAAACAAAAATAACCTACAGCTTACCTCGATTTGTTTGATAATTTTCTTTTCAAGGTCGGAAGGAACTTCCGTGTGCCCATTTGTGCCTTCGTTTGCAGCCATTTTGCGATGAAATCTCTGTCTTTTCAAATTAAACTATGTACCTTACTTTGCTTAAGTTTGAGTGAGTCCAATAAGAAGGTTCTATCGCGTAAAACTGTGTAAAAAAGGTAAAAACTGTTTCTGGATTCTGCACGTGGGTTAACAAGCTTTCGGATTTCACCACATTTTCATCAGCTACGAAGTGAACAACCGCTGACACCATTAACTCTAGTCACGCCAATGATGTCTTACGTGACATTCATACAGTGCGTGACCTAGGTGTCAATCTGTTCAAGTCGTTCATGCCAGGAGCCGATAAACGTTTAGTTGAACCAGGTATGAAAAAAAGCTAAAATACTAATCTATTAAACCTGTACCTGCCAACTCTCACGCCTTAGGCGTGAGTCTCACGCCTGCGGGTTGAAAACTTCGATCTCACGCCGGCTCACGCCTGCGGGCCAATTTCTCACGCCTGATTGAAAAATGTGAGTTGTTGCCGTCTTGCTTGACACAATTTCCAAAAATATGTTAACTCAGACCTATGTAAGGAACGAAAACCATGTGTAAATGAATAAATAACAATACCTTCCTCGCGATCTCTGATTTTGTGGATAAGCGTTTTTTCGAGAACTTCGCCTTCGGCAGACTTCGGACGTCTTCGGAAGACTTCGGAATTCTTCGGGAATCTTCGGAAATGATCGTGTCGTCTGCAAAAATCCCAGAACTCCCAGGATAAAAATCTCACGCTTATATCTCAGAAAAAGTTGGCAGGTATATAAACCACGTCTAACTAAACAGTGTTTTAACGTGTTCAAGCTTCGGTGCGTGACAACCTTTGTGTCTGGCTTTATACAGCCAGTCTCATTGCAGTCTTTTTACTCTCTGAGAGCAAATCGCCCCCAAGTAGTCACAAAATTTTTCTACGAAAATAACAATGAAAACAAAACAGCCGGGGGCGCGCAAATGAGAGGAGAATGAGAGGAGAATAAGTCTTCGTAGCTTCTTTTCCTACTCGACAAACCGTCAGGTCCCGGGGACTACGCATGTGAAAGGGGTGGGGATGCTCGTCGTCTCGCTTAGGGGTGTAAATTTCGGATTTTGGTCTCATTTAGGGTGTTCTGGGCAAAACGCCATCATATTTAGCCGTGAAGGTCTCGTTTAGGGTTGCACACGAAAAAATATAAAAATATATATTTGATATGTATACTGTAAGATTCCGAAAATAAGCCCCGGGGCTTATATTTTTCAAAGGCCCTTTTTGAGGGGCTTATTTTTGGAGGGGCTTATCTAAGGAGGGAAATTTGCGTTTCAAAATCGATTGGGCTAGCCTTATAGTTGGAAGTAAATTTACCGTTTTTGCTTTGTTTTACTTTGTATTTGAGGGCAATTTTCCAAGTACAAGCCCCCGGGGGCGTATATTTGGAGGGGCGATTTAACGGAGGGTTTTTTGCGTTATCGGTTTGGGGGGCTTATATTTGGAGGGGCATATACATGGAGGGGCTTATTTTCGGAATTTTACGGTATTTTTAATTCGTTCTATCAGGATGATTTGATGGGCTCCTGGTTCTATTTACTCCATTCATATAATCCAAGTTTTCTCATTTTTCTTGTTTTAACATGGTCTCTTTTGGGGGTCAAAAAAAGCTTGGGCCACGCCCAGATCGGTCTCCTTTAGGGGTTTAATTCAAAATTTCCGACGAGCATCCCCACCCCTTTCATATGCAGAGTCCCCCCCCCCCGGGCGCCAGGTACACAGGCCAGTTATGATACTCACCTGGAATGCTCTTACCACTCTGAATTATCTTTGCTTCATAGTTGGTTACACCTTAACTGATCTTGTCTTCCATTGCTAGCGCTGAAGATCCTACACTGTTCAGATTGACCACGAGTGTTTTGGGCCGAAAAAATTCATCTATAAATAGCCTGTACCAAAGCCTTATAACTATTAAAACACATGAAAGATGCATGTTTTGCATTGCTGGGCTCGTATCCTCGGATCGCGGAGACTCCGAGGCAGCTAATGGCTACGGAGCATCCGGAGCGATAACATTGCAGACAAAGTTTTTAAGAAGAACAGTAGAACCCCCTAGGCACTTAACCTCACCGAAAAAATCATTCGGGCAAAGTCGTTTCGCAACAGGTGGTTTCAGTGGATCATGAAGATGATTCGCTTCAAAGCATTTTTCGTTTCACTGCATCTCAAAATATACTCTCCTTGTAATAAAAGTTGAGTCACTTCAAAGACCTATTTTCATTGAGTTAACTGTCCGTTCTACCTGCTGCTCGTGAAGCTATCCTTTAATAATAATAATGAAGCCACGTTAACATCCATGGAAACAAGCCTTCAATGGAGGTTAAACTAGTGTTGGGACCCTCCCAAAGATAATAGTAAGACTAGTGACCTCCCCGCTCCCACCGCAAACAATGTTGAATTATAAGCAAAATGGGTGGAAATGAGTCCGTTTCCGTTTGGGGTTACAACATTGGCGGGGGAGTTAGGGGGGAGGGGTGTGATGAACCCAAAGTAGACCCAAACATTGTGACTACATGTAGGAACAGAGTCCTATGTAACAATTACTTGGGAGGATTTTTCCAACGTCTCCCGAGTTCTTTTGACCTTCACTGTTGAGAACGAGGTTACTCCATTGCACACATGTACTCGGACTTGTTCTAAATAATAATCAAGGCTGTAGTGACCTATAGGACCCTACCGTGATCAATCTCGCCAAATATTGTATTGTCATAAACGTATTTTTAGCTAAGTGTAGCCGATTAGTGGGCATTTTTAGGCATGCTATAGAAATTTTCGACACTTGAATAAAGTTTCTTTATCTATTTATGTGTGTTGCACACTGATCTCATGAAGGCAACAAAAGCAACGGATTTTAAGAACCACCAAGTTTAATGCAAGTCATGGGTAATACTAAGATTATATTTATCCATTATGTATCTATAACAACATGGCTAAAATCAATACAACAATTATGAACTGAATTCGAAGTACACACTACCAACTCCGCGGTATAACCAGTACCTTACGCATGCGCACAACCATATCACCCCGGCAGTGGCAGCAATGGACAGCTGTTTCATCCTTGTTAGGACTCATCAGCATAGCATAGCAAGCACAGTCTCACTTACGATCCGCAATGTAACGAATTTGAAAACTTTTAACCCTTTAAACCCCTAGAGTGATCAGCATCAAATTTCTCCTTGTAGTATCAAGGCTTTGTAAAACAGAGTGGTCATGAGAATTACGGACATGATCACACAAGATGAATTTGCTTGATATTTTATCAACTTCTCCCCACTACTTCTGTAGGAAATGAATAGGGGCAACTAATGAGAATTCAAATTTTGATCTTAGGGTTTAAAGGGTTAGTTACAATTGTACTGAAAAGTTCATATAATGGGGAAATCATTAAAAAATTACTTCTTATCGTGCTCAACAGCCCGCGGCGACATTAGTACAATAAAAAGATTAGCCTTATCTCAAGGTACAGCTTGGATATTTCCACCGTCCATAAACAAACAAAATGTTGACAAGTTCAATTCCGCCTTAATTATGCCCAGACGGTTCGTGGGCCTACTGCCAAACCGTACTACGAGCGTGTCAGACTCGCCGGGCGCGCTTCGCTCCTTGAAAACGACTTCTTTGAAATCAAACTATGAACAAACCGGAAACTTAGTTCGAGAACGGATGCCTACAAATTTTAGATAAAATGAACCATAATTTTGGGCTGTCTATTTTAATGAAAGTACATGAAAATCTGAGAGGAACCCCTACTATAACAAAGATGAAGTCCAAATAAAATTACAAAAACTGAATCATGGTGATTAATATCCTGGGTACCACAGGTCTTTTTCGCTTGCGGCGGGAATTTTCCGTGTTGGCTGAAAGACACATCTTCGGCCGTAGGCCGAAGCCACGAGCGGCGAAGCACAAACCGGAAACCGCGCTAGAAAAGTCTCTGGCACCCAGAGTGGGTGATTTACGACACGCCCAATCTTTGCACGCTCGGCGAGGACTTACATAGCACATACATACTCTCGTTTCCGGTCGTTATTGTATCCAACACAAAAAAAGGGCGGCTTGACCCGTATTTGATAATAGTTGTCCTGACAACGGTCTTGGCTGCCTTTCACTCCCGAATGGAAGTTTTTCGTTAAACTGTTTTGTAACAAAATACAAACCCCGCCGACTGCTGACAGTGACCGTCTTTGTCAGCTGTTTGTCCCCTAAAAGACACATAACATTGATTTAACTGATTTCGTCCCATCAATTGTTACGTGCATGCAATTTCATTTACATTCCGTAAAGTGAGGCGGGGGATCTTGATAGCTGGGATATTGCTTATTTACAAGGCTTGTTATAACCTCGTTCCCAGGGTCTTTCCTATTCGTCCCCTGGAGATGTCTGTCACTCACGAGGTTGGGCTTGTCGACCCGACAAAAGTGGGAAAATGTCGTCACTTATCGTCAAATGTAAGACAACTCACAGGACCAAACACCGTGCTTCCTCGCAACGATCTCTACACCGACCGACTCTTTGATAGTGGCTCAATAATGCCAAGTCGTTACGAACTCTTTCCACGTAACAATGATCTTCATCGAAAATCTTCTCGGAAATCCTCAATTCTTTTTCTAGAAGTTCTTTGGCTTGATTGTATTCTCCCAGCCTGCAGTACACTGATGCCAAGTTGTAATAACTTGTTGCTACAGAGGCATGATCTTCACCAAAAATCTTTTTTTGAATCACAAGTGCTTTTTCGTGAAGTTCTTTGGCTTGATTGTATTCTCCCAGGCTGTCGTACACTGATGCCAAGTTGTTATAACTTGTTGCTACATCGGCGTGATCTTCTCCAAAAGTCTTTTGGTGAATCACAAGTGCTTTTTCGAGAAGTTCTTTGGCTTGATCGTTTTCTCCCAGGCTGTGGTAAACTGATGCCAAGTTGTTATAACTTGCTGCTACACAGGCATGATCTTCACCAAAAATCTTTTTGCGCATCACAAGTGCTTTT